CCTGTTTTGCATAAACTCCATGCCATGCATGAATTCCAGTGTTTCAGCTCCAAACCAAAAGAGGTAGCAGTGGGCCAATCATACAGGTTTCTTCTTCTGCATTGGCTAATTCATCCACCCACAGGACACATAGACTCATAGACTTTAAGGTCAGAAGGGACCATTTTGATCATCTGGTCTGACCCCCTGCATGCTGCAGGCCATAAAACCGTCCTTACCCCTTCCCTGGACTCTGCTGTTGAAGTCTCCAATCCTGTTTTTAGTGACTGCAATCGGCAGAGACCCTCCTGCTAGAGATCCCTGCCCCATGCTGCGTAGGAAGGCGAAAAACCTCCAGAGGCTCAGCCAATCTGCCCTGGAGGAAAATTCCTTCCCGACCCCAAATGTGGCGATCAGTAAGACCCCGAGCATATAGGCAAGAGTCTCCAGCCCGACCCCGTTAGCCATTATACTATTTACCCACCCTTGCTTGGCTTTCCTTGACTACTATGTTTTACCATTAAACCATTCCCTCCATAAACTTATCTAACTTTATCTTAAAACCAGACAGGTCCGTCGCCCCCACCGTTTCCCTTGGTAGGCCGTTCCAATATTTCACCCCTCTGACGGTCAGAAACCTTCGTCTAATTTCAAGTCTGAACTTCCCCATGGCCAGTTTGTATCCATTCGTTCTGGTATCCACGTTCGTACTAAGCTGGAATAATTCTTCTCCCTCCCTTGTATTAATCCCTCTAATATAATTAACCGTTTCTCTTGCAGCCAGAGAACGGAGGAAGCCTTATTAGCGTTTATAGTTTGAAATTCTTGAGAGGTGCCCACATAGGGCTCTATAAATACAAATAAATGCCTTTCAGGGATGGTCTAAGGATATTTGGTCCATGGAGGGATGGACTAGATTACCTCTCAAGGTCCCTTCCAGCCCTGTATTTCTGTGATTTTAGAATATGTCAACTTTGCAGTTCTTAGAATGAAACACAATCCCATGTTTCTAGCAATCAACTATAAAAAATGAAAAACTAATTTGAATGAGGTTGTATGGTTGTAAATGAGGACAGGATTTGGCTAGTGCTCATTTAACTTTGGATAGTAGACAGATATATGAGGTTACTTTACAAAGGACTATACCTGGCGCTTCAATTCAGTTATCTCTTCCTGACAGGAAACTATTTCCTCTTCTGCAAGCTTCTGCAAATCTTCATTCTCATCTGCAATATTGGAGTGGGTTAATCCTCAACATCTATGATTTACACAATCTCATTAATCCTCCCTCCACAATAGCTGTATGACAAACCACACTTCTTACTGAATAAAAACATATTTTGCATGTCATTAAAAGTTGAAGAATATGATATGTGATTACCTTAGACCTTAGTCCATCCCGTGCTTTGCTGCACATTGGGCTACCCGCACATTTGCCATAATATGTGATAGAGATGAATAATTATTTTAATAGTATTTTCTGGTATTGTCTAGATTAGATATGGGGAGATCCACCCTATTTAATATCTCTCTATTCTCTCCAGAAAGAAATGTGAAAACTAACTAGGAGTTAAGCTTAAAATTCTCTATTTACCTAAGGATTTGGTTGTATCACAAAATTCCCACCTCTACCCCACCCCTCAGCACAGATAACATTCCTTGTGCCACAGGACTGGGGCAAGCCCATCACACAGTCCCATGAATGTGGCTTTCCTCATCCAAAAGTTCTGCAGCCACTGCTCGTCATCCCAGACGTGACTGACAATGTGATCCCACCACTTGGTGCTTGTTTCCCAAGCCCAAAAGCGGCGTTCAACTGTGGTCAGCACCTCTGTGAATGCCACAAGCAATCTCATGTTGTACCTTCTACGCATGGTGAGAACAATATTGCACTCCTTTTGCCTTTGTAGTTTAAGGAATAACTCCACTGCCACTTGTGACGTGTTAGTCAGAGCGAGCAGCATACTGGTCAACAGCTCAGGATCCATTCCTGCAGCCTGAAGAGGCAGGGTGCACAGTACACAAACCATTGAAAGATGGCGCCAAAGGCAGATGGAAGCTAAGGGATTTCTAGGATGCGAAGCAATGCATCACGGGTCATTGGGACAGTACCCAGGATGCCCCACGATCCCCTCCACCTTCCCACAAGTCTTTGCAGCAGAAGGGAAAGAGGTGCTCTGTGGGATAGCTGCCCAGAGTGCACTGCTCTGAATACTGCTGCAAGTGCCGCAAATGTGAACACATTATTGCGCAGGCAGCTGACAGTGTGAACACACAACAGGTGTTTCCCTTCAGTGCTCTCTAAATGGCGCTGTAACTGCTGCTGCTGTAACTTTGCCAGTGTAGACATGCCCTTAGGCTACCAAATACAGTTTCACATACAACAAAACACCACACCCAAAACAATCTCTTAAGAGAACCCTCTGACCCCACTGAAAGGAGAAGGCTCTTTGTGTACAGTCTACTCAGAAAATGAAGGTGTGACTGGAGTGGGCATATCCACACTAGCTTTAATCCAGCTAGCATAGATAACAATAGTAGTGAAGACATGGCAGCAAGGACTTCAGGGCAGGTTAGCTCAAGTATGTACACAGGGTCCTTGGTGGGCTTGTACTCAGGTGACTAGCCTGCACTGAAGTCCATGCCACCACATCTTCATTACTGTTGTTATCCATGCTAGGTAGATTAGTGTGGGTATGACTACCTGGGCTACAGTTACACCTGTGTAGATATACCCTCAAGTGTCTGCTGCTTGAACACAGTGTGGGATAAGGAAAGAGTATCAGCATGGATTAAGCAGGTGTGCGTTACACACACACACCTTCCCTCCCCAGTTCAGTTAGTAGATACAGAGCATCTCTTTCAATGAGCCTGCTCTCTACACTGCATTGCTTCGGCTGCACTGCTACTCTTCGCTGAGAGTCTTTCACTCCCCTGCTACTTCTGTTGGCTTCTGAGTTTAAGTCTGAATTAATCTTTTGACACAACAAGCCTAGAGTAACATAGAAAAGATGCTCTGTTACATTGCCAGCCTCAGGAAAATAAAAATATCCTCCGAGAGAACACTGGTAAAGAGTGCAAAAAGTGGTGTTTGCCTATTTGCTAGATGTGCTAATGCAGGTTAGAAGCATAAATTGTCATGCACACTCAAAAGACCAGATGATGCTCTAAACAAGGATGGATGGACTCAAAACTGATTTGCAATAAATGCTTTTTTTATTGTGATTAAGAAAGTAGCTGTATCTTTTATCTTTCTCTGTCTAGAAGGGAAATGCTGGGCACTGTCCAGTTACTGGTGCTTCATTATTTCCCACACATGTCCAATTCTAAATTGACCTGCAAGTATGTTTAAAGGATGGATCATTAAATAAAGCTGGTGATCTGCATTTATAGAAAGGCTCTCAACACCACGTAAGCCTCATGTTAAAGGCTTAAGTAGTGTGTAAAACCTTGAACTGGCACTCTTCACTAAACTGAATATTACCCATTACATGTAGCGTAGTAGCCATGTTAGACGAGGTGGGTAATGTAATATCTATTACCCCTTGTGAATTATAGGGCCATATCTTAATAGGCAAAAAAAGGTGAAGTTTTGAATTACGATAGCTTAATCAAGTTATCTTAGCACAGCCAAAAGCCCCGTTAGGCCTTACTGTCACTAGGAAAGAAGGTATGCTTTTAACAGATTAATTTAACATGTGTTAAAACTCTAGTGTAGTCAACGTTATTTTTAGTTTTAACATGTTAGTTGGTCAAGTAAACTGTAGGCTCCCCACTATGGTTTACCTCAATCAGCTAATGTGTTAAAGTACAACTGCTTGTCTACACTAGGATTTTAACGTTTAACGTCTTTCTCTGCATCCCCGAAGGCTGGAAACTTTGTTTTTATTCAAGTGAAAATCACAGCTTTCATTTTTGAAAAAATCGCAGGAACTATGGCCCAGATCCCCAAGGGGATTTAAATCCTAGACAGGACCATCAGGAACACAAGCCCAGTGAACACTCACTGATACTGAAGAAATTATTTCAGATTAAGGTAAAGTGTGAATTTAAAGCAGAACAGCTATTGCTGATTAACTCCTTGTGTGCACGCTCTTATTCTGCAACAGAAGTGCCTTAATCTGATTTGGATTAAGCTAAAATGCAATAAGGACACTCTTCATTCCGGAGTTAATCAGGAACTAACTCCCCGTGTAGACAAACCCCGGAGTTAGCAGCCACAGGCGCGCGCACACAGCAAGTTCACCTGGAGTTTGCGTGTCCGCGCGGGGGGTATCCAGCAGAGCAGGTAGGCGGGGCCAGAACCAGGGGGCGGGGCCATGCGCGCTCGGCCGTTAGTGGGGGTGGGGGTCTCTCACCTGCTCGTGCCAGCTCTTGCGTGTCCCGCAACTCCTGCTCCTTTGCCCACAGCCGCTGTATCCGCGCTCCCAGCTCGGGGCCGGCTCGACCCCTCGCCTGCTCCTCTAGGAAGCGGCGCAGCGCGGGCGCGGCGAACAGCGTCTCCAGGCCGGGCCAGGAGCTCAGCGGGCGCCGCGGCTGCTGCGCGGCACGTCCCCAGCACATACCGGCCCCGGCGGCGGCCCCGCGGCAGCTCCTGGCGGGGGGCGGGGCCTCGCGCAGCCCTTGCGCCGCGCGGAGAGTACGCGCGAGCAGCCGCATGTCCCAGGCGAGGGACCCTGCGGAAAAGACCGAAGAGACTCGGGTTGGTCTCCAGCCGCGGCCGGAAACGCTCGGGTGACATCCCTTGAATACCGGAAATTGCCGAAGGCGCTCGGCTCCCCACAAGCTTCGGAAATAGCCGACGAGGTTCGGATTGGTTGTAGCAGGGATCGGATTGGACGACCAGGAGACGGGGGCGGGGTGGGGCGGAGACCGACCCACGCGACACTGACGTGGGGGTGTCTGAGCCGTCGGCTCCTCTCTCGCTCCAGCACGCGGCAGCCGGAGCCTTCGCTATAGGCTGGGAAACGCTCATGGAAGCGAGACAGGCACCCGTGATCATCACCCGGCATCCCCAGAGCCCCTGTCCCCCTCCTAGCTAAATATCCCTTTAGCCCCTATGCATCCCCACAGCCCCTGCTCTCCTCCTAGCTAAACATCCCTACAGCCCCTGTTCTCCTAGCTATACAACCCCTATGCATCCCCACAGCCCCTGCCCCTTCCTAGCTATACATCCCTACAGCCCCTATATATTCCTACAGTCCCTGCTCTCCTAGCAATACATCTCTAGAGCCCCTGCTCTCCTCCTAGCTAAACATCCCTACAGCCCCTGTTCTCCTAGCTATACAGCCCCTATGCATCCCCACAGCCCCTGCCCCCTCCTAGCTATACATCCCTACAGCCCCTATATATTCCTACAGTCCCTGCTCTCCTAGCAATACATCTCTAGAGCCCCTGCTCTCCTAGCTAAACATCCCTACTGCCCCTGCTCTCCTCCTAGCTAAACATTCCTACAGCCCCTATATATTCCTACAGTTCCTGTTCTCCTCCTAGTAATACATCTCTACAGCCTCTGCTCTCCTCCTAGCTATATGTCCCAACAGCCCCTATACATCCTACAGCCCCTGTGCAGTTCCTAGCTATACATCCCTACAGCCCCTGAACCCCTCCTAGCTATACATCCCTACAGCCCCTGTGCCGTTCCTAGCTATACATCCCTGCAGCCCCTGCACTGTTCCTAGCTATACATCCCTGCAGCCCCTGTAACTGGTGTAGTTATACATCCCTACAGCCCCCGTCTCCCCCAGCTATACATTCCTATACATCCCTGCAGCCCCATACCCCTCCTAGTTGTACATCCCTACAGCCCCAGTACATCCCTATAGCCCCTTTACCCCTCCCTTTTAACATCCCTCCCTCCTATACTTTGTCACAGCAGCCCCTATTCCCCACCTCTCTATAGATTGATACAGCCCTCCTATCTATACATTGCTAAAGCCCCTGTACACTTCCCTCCCCTACATCCCTGCAGCCCCTCTTCACCTCCCTCTCCTACATCTCTACAGCCCCTCCAGTTTCTCCACAAACCATATTTGGTGCAGTAGTAGTGCAAACTTCCATCCACTGCCCACCAATATGTCCACAGTCCTAACCTTGAGGCCCTATATCTATGGGATAATGATAGTTCATTCTCCATTCCTTCTGAATGTTTGTCTTTAGTGCGGAGACTGACAACAAGAGTACCAATTGTGGCAGTGATTTTGACACGTGACTTTTGCCCACTGGGAGATAGACTGAACCATTTCTTTACTAGTAAGTACATCTTCACATACATACATGAGCTGTCAAATGTTGTTTCAGTAAGGTAACTGTATCATCTCATTGTCTCTAATGCTTAATCCTGATGCACTTAAGGGCAGCGTGAAGGCTGCTAGAACTCCACAACCAATCTTACTCTGTTAGTAGATTTTAAGACTAGAAGGGACCATAGTGATCATGTAGCTTGATCTCCTGCATAGCACTGGCTGCGGAATTTCACTCAAATGCTGCCACACCACTTGCATACTGATGGAAGGACCACCATCTGACTCTACCCTTCTATGAATAATGATGGAGAGCTTTTGTGCATGTGCAGAGGTTGACTCTGGAAGTAGCAGGGAGGATTTCTTCCCAGGATTAACTGCACAAGAACACACCTTGACTGAAGAGAGGGCAGAAGATATGTCATCCTATTCTCCCCCTCTCCCCAATCAGCACTAGCTATTTTTCCTTGTAAAGGCATTCTTTTCTCCTTTGGGGGTAAGCTCAGGGATCTAACCCACTCCCTTTCTCCCATTTTGTTGCTGTTCCATATGGGTAACAGTAGGAACCTCCATTATTCCAGCATAGAAACAAAGGGAAACATCTGAGGGACAGGGATCTTATTTCCTCAAACTCCTATGACTTAGATATATGATGGACACTGTAGATAAGCCCAAATACAAAAGCCCAGATCCTCCAAGGTAGTTAGGCATCTAACTCCCATTGATTTCAGGGAGTTAGGTACCTACAAACTTCAAGGATCTGAACTTAAGACCCCAAAAAACACTGTGGATCCCACACCTGCTCAGACCTGGTCACTTCAACCCCATACTCAAATCAGAGCAACTATCCTCAAAATAAGGGCTTGTCAATATTGAAGAGTTTTAACAGTTATTCTAGTATAATCCTATGTTTACACATTTTCAGGTATAAGAATTGTTGTTTGTTTTGTTTAGTTTAAACCTTTCCTGAGCAACATAAGCTAACATGAAAAAGACGTACTGGAATAAGAGTCAACGATGTTTAGACTGGTATAACTATATTTGTTTAAATTCATACCTTAAGTTATTTTAAAAAAGGATAAATAAGGCCCAAGTCAGTTTACTGAGGCGCTGGTCAGCATAGGTGTGAAGTGTTTGTAATCCTATGTAAAAGCTGTACCAGGATTGGGCTCTTGTTATGTATAATTTCCGAGTTCTCAGCCACTCCTCCTACTATAAGGAGTCCTCAAAATATAGTGGTGAAGGAACATCCTTAAAATAGTTTAGGCATCTTTGCATATGTATCCTGTAGTTACAGCAGATGCAAAAAATCAAACATTCAGAGTCAAAGCAAAACTAAAATGTTTTGTAAGAAAGAGAGAAGGGCAATTTTCAAGAATTATTTCAGTCAAAGCTCAGTGGATAGGGACATTAAAGATGACCAGTTTCTAAAACACATCTGCTAAATACATTTTAATGCTCAGTTGAATTGGAAATGTAAAAGCTATACAAAGAGGTCATTTAGGAGGCTGTGGTGTGATAAAAGATTGTGAGATAACTTTATTTTTGCAGTCTGGTATTATCAGTTCATCCCTTCTGATATCTCCTTGTGTGCAAACAGTTTGCAATAAAGTCACTTTCTTTTGGATGACATCAGAAGTAAGACTCTCAGCTAAACTCAAAACATAAGTAGTTTAAAGAATATACTTTATTATGTTATAAAAAGTTGCAATTATCCGTAAAATTGTGTTGAGCAATAATCTTATAGTACAGCCATTGGAAGGAATCAAATCAAAGTATTCTGTTCTTCCTTTCATATTCACAACTTAAATTAACAGAAGTAAATAAGCATACTTTACAACTAAATTAACACATACCTGTAGAGTAACAGTAAGTTCTCCCAAGCTTACATTAGTGAGTTGTCAATTTCAAAAGATTTATTTAAAAAAAAAGTTAATGTAATGCATATTCATGTAAAGTTGCCAAAACAGTCAGAAATGAAAATTTGTAATCCAGATCAATTTTGGAAATCCACAGGAAATACATTCAACATGAGAAAATGGTTTGTGGATATTAAAATGAATGGGTGATCAAAAATGGTAATTCTGCAATGTTTAGAAAACCATTTTCAGCAAGTCTGTCACTGTATACAATTGGATTGACAAAATACATTGTAACAGCAATATTTTTAAAAGAAGAAAATTACACTTAGAGGATATGCAGTGAATTTACAGTCTTTGAAGTTAGTCTGGCATTAAGAAATAGCCTAAAGCACTGCCTCTGAAATCTTATTCATGCATGCAAAGCTTCTTTGTGATCCACTGGTACCTGTCAGTGGAGTTCACTGAAGTATGATGGATAATTTAATACAGTAAGCATCGTTGTCAAAGGGAGAAAAGAAAAATGATGAAGTTTTATGGATTTCATAGGACCAAATACTTGAGTTCCTATGAATGTTAGAATTTATGAAATTCATAACTACTATGTATAATTAACATGCTTTGTGACAAATAGTCAAAAGCCAGGAAATTTAGAGTACAGGATGATTTAGTGTAAATTAAAGCTTGTAAGGAAAAAAGCCAGCATGAATTAATGACTTACTGTCAGCAGTTGAATTATCTGGCTTGTATCACAATTTTAAATTGTAGGGAAAGTTTTTGTGCTGATATCTTAGTTTATGGGACCAGTAGGGTCAATTTCTGGCTCCAGGCATTAAGCTAGCGTACTTGTTTTCCAAGTGTGTAAACAATATTAATGTGAATTCAAACAGTTATGGATTTTGGCACCACCATGCACTGTCCTCCCACCCCTCACAGATTACTACTGTTATTGGCAGAAGTATGCAGGATAGGGTTGAATGGGGTTGAAGCTCAGTCAGTGGGCATACATATTAAAAACACAGGTCTCCTAAGCCCCACATTGGGGTTGGTAGCCAGGGAGGAACAAGCAAGTTTAAACTGACATTTTGGTTATCCATGTATGTAAAGTCTAAATCCATTCAGTCACTGGGTTCCATCAGCAGGATACCTGCTGTGGGTCCTTGCCTGCAAGGAGAAGGTTTACAGCCATTGATACTGCAGGCCTTACTCCTTGTGGGACATGGATTCTGATTCAAAGGCCATTGAAGCAAATAGTCTAACAATTTCAGTAGGCTTTGAATCAGGCTCACTGAGCACATATCCTAGTCAGCCTCTGCAAAACAAGCCTTCTAGGAAGCTCTTACTGTAATTTAAAGTTGCTCTCCCCTCTATGGCCCCCCAGCCTGATGTATGGCAGCAATTATATCCACTTGCTCTCCCAGCGAGAGCATTCCCCTCCATAGCACCTGCCTGTGAAGGTAGGTGCAATCTGTGTAGACAGCCTATGCCAGGGGGAGAAAATATGGCTCCAAGCCAGAATTTGGACCATATTTATTAAACCTGAAAAATGGGAGTAGCTTCCTGCATACTGTTGGCTTAGAGTACAAAACAACTATGCATGTGAATAATTTAAACAGAACCATTTATTGGCTTCAATAAGACTATTTGGGAACCCTAAGTTACTCACGTGGTCCCCAATTCAGCAAAGCCCATATTTAGTTTCTCTGAAACCAATGGGATTTAGGCATATGCCTAAATGCTTTGCTTATTCAGGGCCATGCATAGGTGTCTGCAGGATTAGGCCCTATGATGTATGTGCATTTAAACTTATTTTTTTCTTTTTTAAAGCTTACGTTTATATTTTGAACTTGCATTTCAGTTTTTCATGAGACCAGAAGTGGCACGGTATATACATATATGTTATTCCAGTCTATAGAGTAAGCATATTGGGCAGTTTAAAAATTGTATTGTACATTATATGTACAAGTAAATCAGTTTTCAAGTTTAATAGCATGGCTGTTTACATTTTTTTCAAAATACTGTACCAAAAGCAATGAGATTGTGTTATGACCTAATTTGTTGTCAGTATCAATTTCAGAAATGTAAACAGTTTGAGATATCCAATAAGTTGACATGGACTGTAGTTGACTATTCATATAATTTTGAAAACACCAATTATTTAAGTTTATATTAACAGTAATTATATTAATACTTACTCCTTGGAAGCAAGATTCTATGTCATAAATAATGGTCAGTTTATAAATCCCTGAAAATAGGGGATTTAGAACATAATCTCATTGCAATATTACACTGAAGACCTATGTAATATTTCTTAAAATAATGTAACAGTTTCCAGATATAGATTTCTGGAATGCCTATGCTAGAAACCAACATGTATTTTAGGGCCCTTATCTTTAGTTTTAGTTAGAAGTGTCCTAAAAAGGATGAACTGTCTGTTTTGACAAGAACATCTACTTGTCTAAAGTATCTTATAAAGATAGCTTATGGCTAGCAGGTCACCATCAAATGGTAACATCAAGAATATTCAAGTCTACATTTTTAAAGGCTTATACATGCAGTATTGTCTTATTACACATTGTCTAGTTGTTTGCACCAAAATGCATTGTGCCTCAAACACTAGCAAACCTAAAATCATGCCATATAAATATATACATATATGATGCTATATTTGTATAGTACCATAGTAAATATCATTCTAACTAAATGGCACAGTAGATATGTAGGACCAAATTTAATTCTAATTAAGAAAAAGCATCTTAAATTCATTTTTAAAATTGTATTTCACAGTAGAAGGAGGCAATTCTTCCTTGTTGAATTCCATCCCCCCCTTCAGGAAGAAAAGTTTTGTAAACATCATAGCTATTACTCTATCAATATAATTGAATATTTTATTCATAATGGTAAATAGCTAACCAACATGAATAAAGTATGTCATAACACAACAACACTTTCAGACAAAACAGGTATTTATTAAAAGAAATATTTATAAATATTATGTCTTGCATTTTAAACTACATTTTCATAAACAACAATATTTAAAAGTGCTGAATATAGTAGGATAGTCAGCAACGCCACTGTAAACAGAATTTTGTTTTCTGCCTTGCAGAATTTGTTTAAAATCCCATTTTGTCATACACTACAACATTTAAAATATTTGCATAGGGAATAAAGAATAGCCCTTTTAATAATCTCCTGAATTCTATATAAATTACAAAACCAAATGAGTTTAAGAAACAATTCTTCAAATTGTTCATATTCATCCAGAAAAAGCACACAGGTTTCAAGTAAAAATAATTTAAAAAATTCCCCAAACCGGCTGTTTGAAACATATTCTATAAATAAAATAATAATAATAATAAATGTGTGAGAGAGGTAGTAAAATAAAGGAAAAAAATAACCCCCAGAAAATAAACTAAACTCCAAATCCTGCAAGTTATTCCATGCAAGCAGATCCCTGTGTCTGTATCATATTGACTTCAATAGGGCTCTGTACAGAGGTCAGCCCATCAGAAGTAATTTACAGACTGAGGGGAAGGGCTCAACATTTCAGGGCCAGATTCTGCTCCATTACAAATCGGTATAATCTGTCAACTCCAAAGTTAATGGAGTTACTCCATATTTCTATGGGTGTAAGGGAGAAGACTCTTGCCTCTCTCTAAGCCTTAGTATAAGGACAATGTTCCCAGTAATAAGGACATTTAAAACTTTTATTCAAAGCCATTCTATCATTTATCTTTCAAGATAGTTTGCAGGGGATGCTAGCACTCAGAATATAGTTTTGTGTACTTTAAGCATGAAGATGGTGTTTTGTAAGTTACAAGTTATGGTATATTTAAACATCAAAGTGCATATCAAAATAGGACAGTTTTTTTTTAAAAAGGCCAAGCCAGACACCTGCAAAAAATAGCCTGGCAGCAAGGCGATTTGAGCACTATGCTGCCTTCTTAGTTCTGATTGTACTGGGCCGTTAATATTCGGAATTCTTTACCCAAGAAGGACACCTGTTAACTTCAACTTTTGCCTGGGTAAGGAGTGTAAAATCATAAGCCCTTGAACATTAATCTCTACAACCCCTTGTTTTCAAGGAGTTTTTCAAAATCAAAGAGACAACAAGCTGAGATAAGTCTTCCTTAGCCCCTCTCCCCCTTTGTAAAATACTGCTTTTTAAAAAAAACATCTTTTCACTGGATTTCTCTTTAAAAGAAAAATATCTTACAGGACAGATGCAATTCATCAAAATGTTCTAAAATGCTCTAAAATGCTACATGTAGGCAATCTTTTATTAAACTTCTTTATTCAAAAACTAAATTATAAACTTTTTTTTTGCTGAAGTACATAACATTAGACAACAGTGTTAGAACTGGATCGCCAGTCTTTAATAAATCAATTACAGTATCTGACATCTGAAGTGTACATTGAAAATCTTTGTTCTTATAACAATTAAACAATATCAGCGCATAAATTGTGTCACCCAGACATGGATCCCTTTAAGTGGTTTGTGCTTTTTTTTTTTTGACATTGCAAACGCTAATGAAAATGCCAGTTTTGGCAGTGACCAACCAGAGGAATCCCCATTTTGATTTATTTTAAATAAACAGTGATAAATAGCTCTTTTTCCCATACAGAATTATTGGCTTCAAAAAGTCAGTGTATTGTACTCAGTAGAGCATGTTGAATAATGCTACACGTGAAAAATTGGCTTTTTTCTGTGTTAGTGATGTTAAAAAAAAAATAGCAAGCCTCTTCCTGGTTTGCTGCAATTATTTCTATGTACCATAATACTGTATTGCACAAAAAAGTTCTTAAATACAGATATAATTTATGTTATTGAATTAAATATTGCAACAACTAAGTGGTATGTGAAGCAATTTTATCTTGCACATGCAGTGTGAGAATACACAAGGAGACTGTTCATAAAACTACAAATACATCATTGCAATCTTGACTGCAGTTAAGTGAAAGGAGTGTGAAACAAATGTATTTTGGCAAATCCATTGTTCCCTCCCCCGCAAACTCAAGCAAGGGGGACCTTGGTAAAAATGTAGACAGAGACCATCATATGTATTTGTTTTCTTCACAGTAGCCTGAGTAGTGCTAAACTGTAGTTCTCCAGGAACTCAGCGCCAGATGTTATTAAACTACTTTTATTCCCTCCCACCCACCCAAAAAACCCCAAATTATTTTATCCAAAAATTAGAACTAAGTTTCAGAAGTAGAGCCTACAGTACTTTCGATGAGAGACTTGTACATCTGAGAGTTCAAAAACCTTGGGAAAGAGTCTCTGTGCATTAAGGTGTATATCTGAAGTTGGGCATCTTCATACATGTGAGGACTGGGATCCAACAAGTTTCTGTTGATCACTTCTCGCACCCGAGAATCAAGACTAACCTGAAGAGAATAGAAAGAGATGTCTGTTAAACAACAGATTTGGAAAGGGCTGTGTAAATATCTATATTTTCCACCCCCCCTATCTCCCTCCCCCCCAAAAAAAATCCACAGAGGACCAAGAGCTCAGTTTCCTTTTGTCAGTTATATTTTTTTGTGTACTTGGCTTCTTCAAAAGTCAATTTTATACAAGTATGGGCAAAACTACCCATTTTGATTTGCCTTGGTCTTTGTGTTCACATTAGGTACTATGAGAAAAAGATGCCATTATATCACAGCAAAAATGCAGGGCAGTTAAAGCTATACATTAACATGGATCTCTCCATATACATTTCATTTTACATTGATCAATTTACTCAGTTTTTCCAAACTTAAACATATTCCTCCTGGGAAATACTGAATGAGTCATTAATTGGCTGAAATGCTTTCTCCTAGTTGCTTTTGTTCAGTCTTCTGAAATTTTCTGCTTACTGTACCATGGTTGTTGGGTTTTTTGTTTTATTTTTAACACTATACTTACTAGTCACAAATTACCAAAAGTTTCTTTTTTTTATTGTTGTGCTAATGTTGCTATTAGTCTTAAGTCTCTTTTTTTTTCTTCCATTCAAGGCCTTTTAGATTCTGGTAATTTCCTCTTTTAGGCAATTTTATATTCATATTTAACTTGGTAGCAATTTTGCAATTTCCACTTGAATTTCTGACTTTATATTCCTTTTGTAATGAACTCTGACATCTAGGAAGGACAGAGGCACATTGCCCCTGATGTTCTACTAAAACACAAGATTCATATTAGATTAAGTAAAATATGGATGCAATAGGGAAAACTATAAATGGGTCCAGTTAGGAAAATATTAGTTGTGGAGAAAAAAGATAGAGCATTGATATGGAAGAGCCAAGAACAATTTGTTGCTTTGATCCTTCTATTTGAGCCATGCAATGAACTTCAACGGGCCTATGCTATTTAGATCAGCTGAGATTCTGGCTCTATATATCTACACTTTACCCATATTAAAAAAAAAAATTATTGTCCAAATATATTTAGTCCATATAAACCCAAAAGCACCCTGATGTTAGAGGAACATTAAAGGTACATGGTAAAGCATTAAAAAAAATCAGGAATGAATATTGCATATGCATTGCAATAAAGTCTTTAAATATATAACCAAATACCATATTGAAATAATTAAGATAACATGCAAGTTTTCTCTACAGCCTTACGAGTGACATGTAGCAACCGATATTTTTTCCATTCTTGTATGCTTGTACTATTGTCATAATAGTCTAATACATCTTTATTGGCTTAGTCTTTGTATAGAGTAAGTCCACTTCTCCAAGATGCATTCTATAGTCTAATCATTTATTAGTCACAAGGCATTATTATGATGCCAACTTAACTGCAAATATCACATTCCTAGCAAGTTCTTCTATTACTTTTTTAAATTTAGTCTGTAGAATATTTTGTGTCTTGTTTACTATGTACTTTCATATAAATGTCTGTTGTGAACTCTGTCCTATCATGCACACAGCACTATGTGATGCAACATACATCACTAAAGCTGTAGACAAGATAGTGTACAGGTCTGTCTCATCTTACGCTGGGGTTACGTTCTGCAGTCAGTGCATAAAGCGAAAATCACGTATAGTCAAAATTACATTGAGTGTAATGGCGGGCGGAATCGCCCGCACTACAGAAACAGTATTTAAATTGTTCTTTTTCTCTTTTTGGGGGTTTTGTTTTTGTTTTTGCCGACCGCGTAAAGCTTAAATCGCACATGTTAAATGCACCTAAGATGCGACAGACCTGTATTGTATTATAGTACTGAAGAAGCAGCTGCAAAGGGCAGTATTGCAACCTTGGAACTTGCTTGGGGCAGATTTCAACTCCTGACCAACTGAACTTCTCTATCCTAGACCTGAAATTCTTAGCTTTAAGTGATTTTCCCTTGGGTGATTTGCCTTTGAGTACATGAAGTTAACAGCATTAGGCTCTCATTTTATGCAGCTAGCAGATTAATTCTCTTTGTTAGAGAAAGTGGCATCAAGTAGTCCTTATTGAAGATATTTGCTGGTGAGTGTTCTGGTGAAAATTGGTTGAGTTTATGGAATTTAAAAAAAGAGTCACCTTTCACACCTGTAGTCTATTTTGACCAGAATTTTCTCAATGACCCTGTAAAGTGTGCAGGCAGTTTATATGCATAACCGAGTGCTGGTTGTGACACTCTGTATCTTGGGGGAACACCCTGCATCCCCACGTTCATCTTTATAATATGATTGTGGGTGGGAGGGCAAAGCCAAGAGGGAAGAAAGAACATGATAAAAGGGAGAGACTTTTGCCATGCTCTTCCTCTCTCTTCTACCTCCATCTACAGACATCACCACCAAGCGACTGAAGCACTGATCAAAGGGGAGAGCCTGGCTGAAGAGCAAACAGCCAGCCTGTGGTAGAAGCATCTAAGTTTGTAAGGGCACTAAAAGTGTTAAGATCAGCTTAGAATGCATTTTGCTTTTATTTCATTTGACCAAATCCAATTTCTTGTGCTTTGACTTATAATCATTTAAAATCTATCTTTTGTAGTTAATAATTTGTTTGTTTATTCTGCCCGACACAGTGCGTTTGGTTTGAAGCGTGTCAGAGACTCCCCTTGGGATAACAAGCCTGGTACATATCAATTTCTTTGTTAAATTGATGAAATCATATAAGCTTGCAGCGTCCAGCGGGCATAACTGGACACTGCAAGACGGAGGTTCCTAGGGTTGTGTCTGGGACCAGAGATATTGGCTAGTGTCATTCGGTTGCACAATCCAAGCAGTTTACATACCAGAGGCTGTGAGTGAACAGCCAGGAGTGGGGGTTCTCACAGCAGAGCAGGGTAAGGCTGGCTCCCAGAGTTGAGGATTGGAGTGCCCTAGCAGATCACCGGTCCAGATAACACTAAAGCTTTTGCACTAAAGTGGTTGTAAACAGCTATAGTTCAGACAAACCCACAGCAGCATAGGGAAAAGGGTGCATAGTGGCTGGGGCAAAGGTTCCCAGCTCACATGCCCGTCTAAGTGGTTTCAAGAGGTCTCCTGCTTGCCTCTTAAGATCTACAGTAATGGCAGGAGATGATTTGGGATAGCCATTGAAACTGAAGGGGATCTGCATGGAAGGTTTTATGTACACTGAGCATGAAATTTGTTATCACTTTTGAGCTATTAATGATGAAACTAGAATGCTACAGCAGTCCTAAAAGCTGGGGAGAGTTGTGGGCTACATGATGGCTTAGAAAGCCATCTGAGTATTAATAAGTGAAAGAGAAAAACATTATTAGCTTAGCATACTACAAGACAGAAGAAAGGCAAGATAATGACAATGGAATCTATTACCTCTAGCGACCATCCTGGAGGATAAATGTATTGGGCCAAGTCCTCAGCTGGTATAAATCAATATAGCTCCATTGGCTTAGAGCTAGAATGGTTTACAAAAGCTGAGGATCTTGTCCAAAGTGTAGGGAAAGTAAAGGAACTAATTGTACTTGACACGATCCAAGCATTTATCTAAAATATTGAGAACAACAAACAAACCCCAATAGTGATTGCAGGACATCACTCCACACACAACTTTTTAAGTATTATAAGAGATTATTCATTGGGATGTCACAGTTGTTGATTGGCACCATCTCCTCAAGTCTTCTTCCCTGGCTTACTCCCTATCTCTAAAAGGAACTTTCCGCTACAAAAGCAAAGAACAACATGCATCTGCTGGCCTTGTGATCACTGAGCCTTGCTTCATTACCCAGAGATTTGAGAAGCTGGAGTGAATGATGCCAAATGCCCCCAACCCTGGCCCCTTTTCATTGGCTGGAGATCCTCAGTGTGAAGAAGCTGTCTGATCTAGCAAGTCAGGTATGTTTTCTGACCCCACCACATGAACCTGCAGCACTGCCATCCTTGATTACAGCAAATGAAAGTTTAGTATTTCCAGCTTTACCTCTTTTGGTGAAAGTATAGAAATATAATCTTCATATATAAGCCTCGCCTTTTCTTCAATAACTTTCTTGTTCTGTTCCTTCTTTAGGTCTTCACACGCAAGCCAGAAAAGTAGGTTCTCTTCGCTGTACTCTGTTCGAAGAAACTCTCTGAAAAGGTTCCTACCAGCTGGTGTTTTCATCATCTTGTCAAAATTCTGAGCCCAAGACATAATTTCATCTGCAGTAGGGTTTTGGCTGCAAAAAGAAAGTATCATTAGAATATGCTTCTGTTTTTGTAATAGTGTTTACATACATTGGGCCAAATTCTCCTCAGTTACGCTGTAGTCAAGAACTAATGAAAACAATGGGGCTTCATTCATAACTATAGAGTTTTGCACGGTGTTCACTTCTGTGTTCATAATCCCAATACCAATTAAATTTGTTTTATTTTAAGAGGCAGGGTACCCTGGTTTTCTATTGATTTTCTGCCAAGATTATTTGTTACCCATAAAACTCAAGAATAAAGTGACATTCCCACTTTTAGAAGAAAGCTTATCCCCCGTTTGTTATACTTTAAGCACTGGATAGGAGATCAGAAGACTACATTGTTTAATATGTAAATGATAAACTGGAGGGTTAAGTCGTTCAAGTTATTTAACTACTATTAAATTTAATACTGGGTACTCATCCTGTCTTTCCTGCACGATGGAAGCCTCTGAAAGTTCCAGTGTTTAAGAGCTTTTGAATATACATCTCACACAATAAGCAGTATTCGACCATATGTCTAGTGCTCAAATCCATTTAATCAACCTTTATTTTACAAGCCATACAGGATATACAAGTTATTTAATATTTATACTTCCAGAAAGCTATCCTGAGCAAAATGGGTATAACTTTTTAGTTAACTAATACAGACTCCATATTTTCTGTTCTGTCAGTCAATGATAATTTCTTGGACTCAGAGGCCTGGATTCTCTTCTCAGAATGGTCAAAATAAGAAGCAACTCCACTGAAGCTAAAGGAGTTTGTGGCATGTATACATGCAATGTCCACAAGACAGCACTTCCAGGAAGTTCAGAAACAGGTAGAAGTAGGATAGAGTGTCTGGAATTTATTCAGAGTTTAGGGATTGAGTAGGGCATCGAATCTGGTTTCATCCATTAAGTTCCTTTTTTTGTAACCATTAACTCATTGCTCTAAAACTGGACCCTCCTTGCTTCGTGAATATTACAGTCTGATGAAGATATCTGAGCAAGATGGCACTATGCCCCAGAGTTACATTAATTTAAGAAGAGAATAATAAGTAGAATCTTAAGTTCAGAAAGTTAAGGCTAAAATCCTTTCTCCAGCATTTATTCCAAATAACTCAGCTGGATGCTAGGAAATTTTACAGAGAGAAGGAGAAAAATTTCTGCTCCCCAAGGTCTTGGAACAGCAGCAGTTGCACTCAAAGTTGGAGCAGCAACTGCATGACCCCTGAATTTGTGTATATGGAAGGAGGGCCAGAAGATATGTAGTGACAGTTCCTCTAGTCCCATCTTCTCTCCTCCCCACGTGTTTGGGCAACAACATTTTCACAACTGTATTTAAACAGTTATTTTTGTAGGTAAGATAGGACTTGGAATGCCTTTACTTGCATTTCATCATCATGTCTGATTTTACTGCCTTTTATCCAAAGATTTAAGAAGGGAACATCAGATAACTTCCTAGAATCCTCAGATCAAGTGAGGTTTTGATATTACTTACAGACAAGTTAGAAATACAGACATTTGATTTACTGGATAGCTATTGTGAGCACTGGAAGATTTAACGTGACAAACTTACCATTCCTCTATGACCTGGATACTCTCCATTTTGGTTGTATGTGTTGGCCTTCCTGCATTGTCCCCTCTATCTTCATTCCTAACAGTGAGGCTGCAATGTAGTACAACACTTTATTTTGTCTAGAGAAAGTTAATTTAAAATAAGGACTATAGCAATGCTCCAATGTATGGAGTATGAATATATTTAGAGCTACGTTTTCCAAAGTGGTTTCACACCAGCCTCTAAATATGAACTGAGTTTTGGGAGAGTTTTTCAGTCACAAATTTTTGCATGCCCCAGAACTCAGATTAGGAGGTACAGATGCTATTTCCATATGCAATTTACTACAAGTTCATAGTTGTGCACCCAAAAACTAGCATAAATTTAGAGATTACTTTTGGAAAGATTGCCCTAAGTGAAGTCAGAATAATACTGGTAACAAGTAAGAGGAAAGGAAGAAGAAAAAAGAGAGAGAGACGGAGAGAGACTTTATTGGGCACTTACAAAAATGCCCCAGCAATGTTGGGGATTCATTCATTCTTTGAGTAACAAAATTTCCCCCACATTAAGATTATGTTGTGTGGTTTCAATTACAAGATTTAGCATGTAGCTGTTCTATAGAATTCCTTCCCTCTTTAACCAAATTTGTGAGGACTCCTGGACACATTACTTTGAAAACTGACTTTTATTTTTAATGGACTGCCAACTTAGCAAATATCGTGCTAAATGGATTACACTTCATTAAGTGATAAGCCATTTTGTCCATATGGCAAGTACTAGTAGTTTTTCATACTGATAAAACTTACTGGTTTTTCAGTAGAAAGACTTCCATTAGCGTTCTGTAACTAGGAGCTGAGAGAAGAATGACTTTCCTTTTCTAAAATAAATAAATTCATACATCTTCAAAGCTAGGTGAAAATGTAAAAAAAAAATCTGCAAATATTTGTTTCTGTTTTGAATCCTATTTGCTTCATTTTTCTTTGCTGTCTATGAATATTCTAGCAGGTAAAATTACTAGCAGGAACATATACAGCAGGGATCAGCAACCTGCAGCCCACGAGGGTAAGACCCCTGACAGGCCAAGACTGTTTGTTTACCTGCCGCGTCCGCAGGTTCGGCCGATCACGGCTCCCACTGGCCATGGTTCGCCGTTCCAGGCCAATGGGGGCTGCGGAAAGCGGCGCGGGCTGAGGGATGTGCTGTCCGTGGCTTCTCGCAGCCCCCATTGGCCTGGAACAGCGAACTGCGGCCAGTGGGAGCCATGATCAGCCGAACCTGCGGACGCGGCAGGTAAACAAACCGGCCTGGCCCACCAGGGTGCTTAGCCTGGTGAGCCGCGTGCCAAAGGTTGCTGATCCCTGATTTACAGAAACAGAATTAATTGAATACTGGAAGATGCTTACAGGAAGCAAATTTTGTATGGCATCAATATTTGCATGGGAAATCTGATTATAAGTTAGGCTTGGGAACTGGAACATACCACGTGAACAGTCTGTCCAATGGAAAAAAAACACAACCATTATAGCTCAGATTTTGAATATCAAATATTTACAATGCCCCTGATCATCTTATGTAGTTGCAAGTATAAAAAATTGAAATGGTTTCTCAAGTACCTTCCACTCACATTGAAAGAGAAATCCATCTCTGAGTCACTCTAACTGTAAATAAGGTTTCCCTCCACCCCTTCTTCACTCAGGTGCGTGATTAACACTTTTATCATCAGTTTGGCAGAGTGTATGGTGAACTCAAGGGCTCTTTTAAAAATCCACAATTAAAAATCCCAAATATTGCAGATTACATATTAAGACTTAAACATTACAAAGATATACACTTTCAAACAAAGCTGCTTGAAATCAGTTGCTTCTTCACTTACCTGCCAAGACCTGAGTTCAGGCCCTTGGTTCTGCTTCCCCTGTTACAGCGTAGGAATGCAGCTCCTGTGCTGCTTAAGGTGTTAGGATGTCATCAACTGCTGCAGGAGAAACAACACATCCTGAACTCTGGGGTTGGCAGGTAAAAAGCTTTTTCCATCTCCTTTTGACCCATTTCCTGTCAATCTATAAAAGGAGCACCCACCGAAGCCAATGGGAGTTCCATGTATAGAACAAGAACAGAATATGGACCATCCACTTTTTACATCTTGTAATCTTTAAGTCCACACGTGTAACTGCTTAGGGTCAGTTTGTACCTGTTTAGAGCACAAAGGTTTATTTGGGGAGGAGGGGGAGAAGATGTCACAAGAAGCCTCCCTCCCTCTGTCATGGCCCCTACACTCCTCTAGATACAGGGTTTCAGTGCCTCTGTGGTCACAAGTCACTCCATGGAGGAGATACAGAAAGGTGACCGGCAGCTCCCAGCCAACTCCACTGGTTGGTGTAGGGTAGGAGCACAAAAGGATAGTACAACAGATGTGCTCTCCCTTGTGCTTCTCTGAGGGATTGTACCCAAGGCACAATCCCTCCCAAAGCTCCCCCTGGGACAATACAGCTTTTCATCACAGACACAATCCTGCTTGCTAGGTACAGCAAGCTCTTATTAATTTATGATTGCAAACAGTTTTTTAAAAATAGTTAAAGCATTATGATTCACCACATCCTACTCATCTTATTCATGCAATTTTAATGGGAGCGCTCGCGTGATGGGTAAGATGAGGAAGATTCAACCCAAAGAGAATGAAATGATCCGTCTTTTTTCTTCTGCGTTGTGAGCAGCAGTTAAACTGCACTGAGTTCATCAGCCTGCCTCAGGGCTGAGCCACTCCAAACCACCCACACCCCAAGTTTTAAATGGGGCTCCAGGTTTCTCAACCGAGAGGTGTAAGATTGTACTGTTAGTTTAAGTAGATATTTGGGGTCAAATGCTACTTGCTTTGCTCATGCAAAGCTTCTGCTGAAGTATGAGAATCATGACTGGCTGCTGAAGTTGGAAAAAAATGAATAGGGTACTGAGTTCCAAAAATGAAATAGGAAACTAGACACCAAAGCTGTTATTTATCAGAGCAGTAACTGGGATAGGAGCTCTATATTTTGCTTTGTTAAGAGCTTTGGTATACATCTAGATAGAAGGTTAAAGAAGGACCAAGAATATTTTGTCATCTGCGATTTTGTAGTTGTGCTAGTGTGATGGTATCAAGTACATAACTGGCACTAACGCGTTCACCTCATTGTTAATAAATGAAGTTCAATGACCGAATTAGTCATTATTAGAATTAAAATTAGAAATAGCCTTGGAAAGCTCAGAAAACTCTGATGGGTTGATATGGTCAGTTGGAACAATTTCTCAAATTCAATTACTTTAGTGAGAGATGCGCTAAGTTCACAATAGTTGTTGACTGACATTTTCCATTACATTTCTGGCTATCTTGGTTTGAATGATTTTAGTACAGTCCAACTTGATTTTCTGCATTTGACAGAAGGTTAGTGTTTCATCAGACATATGACATCTTCTTGATGCGAAGGCAACTTTCATTTGAACAAATGAGTTAATGTCACTCAGGATAGTTCTTTGTTTTTTGCTCTAGAAACTGGTCACTTTCATTTAAAAAAATAATACATTTGCATAAAGTTTGTGAGATCTACAATTTCCCCACAGAGAGAGTCTATTTTCAGCCATGTAATGAAATGTAAAGAACTTTGAATGCCAAGCAGTTTTTCATTTTGAGATGAATATTTTGAATGCATCTAATTTTAGTGAAACCACCTAGGGCAAGATATTCAAATCCGGGTGTTATGACTGTACCTACAGAAACATGAATAACCGTGAGCCCAGTACCAGTTTTCTACTTTTCATTACTTGTTACCTTCATTAATAATATTGCATTGATATCAGCTATGTTGCAACTTTCGTGATAATGTAAAAATAAATAAATAAAATTAATTCCTCTCTTTTTGTGGAAATCAAGCAGTCCACAATGGCAAAGTGTTTGCATATTCCTCATTTTGGGGGACCTGAAAACCTCAAGTTAACATAGATGCAGTAGTCTGCGTTGGAAACAAGTTGCAAGCAAGTTGTGTTATAGAAAACTAAACAAACAGGATAAAACTCAGTTTTACCAAGCAACTGATTGTGAGCTTTTAGGAAGAGAAAGTGTGTCCATTGGAAGGTATCAGGCAACAGTGAAACAATAGTAAGCTGATCAACAGTCGGACCCCATAAATCAGTGGATAGTGCCCTTATAGTGTACTGTACTTATTCAAATACATCCAGCTAACTTCCCTGAAAAAAAGTGTAGTCTATAGACACAGATTCTACATGCTAAAGTTGCATCAGAAATAATAATGCCTTGAAGTGGATAGGTCTGGAGTGCATAGGGGCATAGTGAGGAATGAAAAGTGCTGCCACTTAATGGATTTTAGTTCCAGTTCATTGAGAGGTTGTGCTCCATGCCTATTTTTGTTCTTGTTTTATTGTTCTGAAGAAAATACTAAAAACATTACAACAGGCCAAATGGGGTGACTTTCTTCTTGCTTTCAATACACCATGAGCTTCCAGCTTTCTGCAATAGCTATAACCATCTTACCAACTGCAAATAATATTATTGAAAGAGTAATCCATGTTTTCATTTGGAACTTCATGACCATAGCATCTAAACATCTGACTAATCGGACACTGCAGAACACCATTTAAAATAAATGTACAAATTCAAATGCAAGCAAATACCAGGTTAAACTTGCTCAGAATTCCTTGTCAATGATTTTGGATCAGCTGTTGGGGATCCTGGTGTTTCTACTCTCCCTTAGTCTCTATGTTCAACAATTATATATTTGTCCTGTCAAGTAATTATTTTACTAGGCCAATATTGCAAGCCAGTAGTTTTTGTACCTCACAATACACTGAGTAGAGATATCAAAAGAGCCTAAGTAATCTAGGAGCACAAATTCCACTGAAAGTCCCCAAAACTCTTTTGATAATTCCACCCAGTTCTTTCAGCCACTCAAAAAGTTCCAGAATGTCCTTACAGTGAAACTTTTGTCCTCCTGTATTCTGAAACAATGGAAGTAATTTACATTTGGGACCTGATCCTTTATGCTCTGGGAATCCAGTACTCTTGTGGATTTAAGATGATGCATCAGGAGCCAGATTCTAATCTCAGTTACACTGGTCTAAGTACAGTGAAGTCAGTGATGTTACAGCAAATTTACACAGGTGTAACTAAGAGCACTATTACTATGTTATTGTAACTAGGTGATTAGGCTGATGTCCTATCTATGCATGGCTGTCATCAGTTAGTATTTATACAAGCATGATCTCAGTTATCATCTCCAAACCGTTAAGATATTTTTGAAATCACTACATACCCATCAATGCACATTCTATACCTCTATCAACATAAAATAAGGAAGTTATTAAAACTCTTTCCCTGGTGTCATTCAATATGCTACAGGGTATATGGAAAGTAGAAGTCAAACTAAGAAAGCATAGTCTAGTGCAGTGGTGGGCAACCTGCGGCCCGCGTGCTGCATGTGGCCTGTCATAAACATACAGCTAAGGGTAGCATAAAATCCCTCTTTATCCTGTAAAGGGTTAATTCCTCTTTTACCTGTAAAGGGTTAAGAAGCTCAGATAACCTGGGTGGCACCTGACAAAAAGGACCAATAAGGGGAGAAGATACTTTCAAATCTGTGGGGGAAGGTTTTTTGTCTGTGTCTCTCGGAGCCAGCCAGGAAACAGGACAGGGAAATTACATCTCCTTAAGCATATCTGAACTAAGCATCTAGTACTGTAGAAATAGTAAATAATAGGAAAGAAATGCATTAGGTTATCTTTTGTTTTAGCTTGTGAATTTTCTCTGTGCTAAGAGGGAGGTTTATCCCTGTTTTTGTAACTTTATGTTTTGCCTAGAGGGAAAATCCTCTGTG